ACCGCTAGAGGGACCTTGGAGTTGTCCCACCTGGGTGTCACTCACTATGAGTCAAGAGCACACACAGGCAGGAGGAGGGAGCCCCATGGCCCCTGTTACAGGAGGAAGACAGCCACCATCATGCTAGACTGAGACAGGTCATGTGAGACGAGGGGAGGCTTCAGCAGGGACAGGAGAGCAATGGTCTGGGCTAGAGGCGGCCTTGCCCAGGAGCTGGGGCTCCTGTAGTTGAGGTGAGGGAACAAGGGCCACATCCCAGGATGACCATGCAAGTGACACGGGCAGTATGGCAAAGGTTGACGACCCACGTATGAAGAGGACACGGTCGGGCATTGGGGAGGGTCACCAACGCCACACATTGGCACCCTCGAGGCTGTGGTAAGAGTGACATGATGACACGTGTGTGTGTATGTGTGTGTGTGAGTGCATGTGTGTGCATGGGTATGTGTGTGTAAATGAGTGTATGTGTGTTTGCATATGTGTGGATGCAGCATGAATGTGTGTGTATGTGGAAGTGTGTATGTCTATGTGTGTGTGAGTGTATGTGTATATGTTAATGTGCATACGTATATATATGTGTGGTGTGTGTGTATATGTGTGCATGTATGTATGTACAATGTATGTGTGTAGGTATACATGTGTGTGTGTACGTGTGTGTGCACACACACATGTGCAAATGGGGCATGAATTCCACAGTGGATGTGTGGAGGTCAGAAGGCAACCTGTGGGAGTTGGTTCTCTCTCCTCAATGTGCGGGCCAGGTCCTATGGGTTCTGAGGTTTGGTAGTAAGCTCCTTTACCAACTGAGACACCCCACCAGTTCAGGACCTGCATCTTTGAAAGAACTATTCCGTACACCAAGCTGAGGAGGGTGTCAAACCCAGTCAGAGCAGCAGGTGGCAGTGTTACTCCCAGCAGTGACAATAACTAGAGACGGAGGGGCGGGGCATGGAGGATGCTGGAGCCTGTAGCAACTCTGCGGGGCTGGTTAGCCACTGACTAGTAGTTTAGATGTGAAGAGGAGCCAAGGGTGACCCCAAGGTTCATGGCCACAGACGCAGGAAGGAGGTAGAGGAGAGCATTTAGACAGCAGGTGCATCTGGGGCGCTGTGGCTGGAGCTGCCTCGGTGGCGCGGCCACGGCCACAGGGTATGACTTGGAACTCCAAGGTTACTGCAAGGCTGGGCTAGGAACCCAGTCAGGGGTGGGATAGGATCACTGGATGGCCAGAGAGGAGGCTTGTGGTTGGGTTGTTTTTTTGTTTTTGTTGTTTTTGTTTTGTTTTGTTTAACCCTTTTGTTTTTTGAGGGGCCAGCTCTCAAGAGGCTGAGACAGGAGTCTCGTGGGTTTGAAGCTAGCCTGAGCTACCGAGTGAGTTCTAGATGAGTCTGGGCTACACAGAGAGACCCTGTTTCCAAAAAAGAGCAAGGTTTTTTTTTGGGGGGGGTTGTTTTGTTTTGTTTTTTAGCTTAAAAAAATAATAAAGACAATGGGGAGACAACTCAGTCATACAGTGCTTACCTTGCCTGAAGATCTTAGTTCAATTTCCAGAACCCACATCTTGTGTTTTTTGTTTGTTTGTTTCATTTTGTTTTGTTTTGAAGCAAGAGGTGGTGGCCTGTGCTTATGATCTTAGCACTAAGCAGGCTAAAATAGGAGATCCACAGGGCTTGTTGGGCAGCCAGGCTAGGCTACTTGCCCAATGAGATACTCTGGGTCAACAAAAGAAGAAAAAGGAGACAGCCCCCGAGGGATGACACCTGAGGTTGTATTCTGGCTTCCACACACATCCACAAACATTGGCATGCACATTTTCACACACATATGCACCGACACTCAAAAGGACAAACAAGATAATAATAATGAACTATACCAAAGAGATTGAATGAGTGTAGAGAAGGAAGGGAGATGGGCGGTGGTGGTGCACGCCTTTAATCCCAGCACTCGGGAGGCTGAGGCAGGCAGATCTCTATAAATTCAAGGCCAGCCTGGTCTACAGAGCGAGTTCCAGGACAGGCTCCAAAGCTACACAGAGAAACCCTGTCTTTAAAAAATAAATAAATAAAAGGAAGGAAGGGATAGTGGAAGAGGAAGATGAACGCAAACACCAAATCCAATATCGCTGGTGGCTGTGAGCAGCTTTGTGCCTCAGTTTCCATCTGTGTAGCAAGTTGCTGGTCAGACTAAATAGTGGGATGGTTGTGGGGCCAGAGAAAATCGCAACAACCACAATAACTATTTTTCATAATTACGAGCTTTTATCATTTATGATATTGGTCCATCGCAGTCATGTTGTCAGCTTCAGTCACCACAGCACCTCTCTGATCCTCCAACAGAAGCAAGTGGCAGGAGAAGGAGGCCAAGCTCCGAAAGACCGTCACTCGTGTACTCAAGTGTGATGTGACCAAGACACCCCCACTGGGGTCAGCTCAAGTGCCGCTGGCTGACTGTGTGCTGACCTTTCTGGCCATGGAGTGCGCCTGTCTTGACGTGGATACCTACCGGGCAGCCCTGCGCAGACTGGCTGACCTGCTGAAGCCAGGGGGCCACCTGGTCACCATGGTTACTCTGGGTTTCCAGAGCTATGTGGTAGGCCCCAAGAAGTTCCCTGGCGTTTACCTGGAGAGGGAGACGGTCGAGAAGGCTCTTCAAGATGCAGGTTGCCAGGTGCTGAAATGCAACTGCACCCCCCTCAAATACTCGAAGGCCTTATGTGAGGGTCTCTGCTTTGTAGTGGCCCGCAAGAGCCCCAGTGCCTGAGGCCACTGGCAGAGAAGAGCCTTCCCTGGGGAAGTTAGACCCAGCATTCATACAGCCTTGCCCCATGCCTTCCTAACACTGGTCACGCCGCTTCTGTCTATTACCTGGTCACAAGGTCACAAAGAGAAAACCCAAGGTTCTCTATTTTCAGCCCCAACATCCTTTCCCCTTGTTCCTTTTCTTCTAAGTAAAGCTCATTAAAATAAAGTGATTTCTCTGGATTCTGTCTTGGGACAGCCTTTCCCAACAACAGATGGGAATTTGGCTGCCAGACATTTATCTGGGAGCAGATGCTGCGAATGCAAATGCAGGCATAGGAGGAAGAGAAGGGGTGGGGGGGGGCAGATAGTGGGATAAGAAGCACCAAGCCCATTCCACTGAGGCAACCGGAGCCAGGGCCAGTGTGGGGCCCGCAGGCGGCATTAGCTACTAAGGGAGTTGGCCATGCCGCCTTGCCTGAAATGTTGGCCCGCAGGGAGAAGGTTCCAGCCTGGCAATCACATGAGGCCCTCCGTAGCCAGACTGCTATTCTGTGGCCTGCAGCTATAACATGGGGGTCTCTGGACCAACCAGCCTCTGTCACAGTTTGGGTTTCTATTGTTGTGATCAAATACCATAGCCAAAAGCAACTTGGGGAGGACAGGTCTATTTAGTGGGCATTTTCAGGTAATCATCTATCACAGAGAGAAGTCAGCAGGAACACAGCAGGACAGAAGCCTAGAGGTAGGAATGGAAGCAAAAGCTGTGGAGGCGTGATGCTTACTAGATTGCTCAGCCTGCTTTCTTATATCATCCGGTACCACCTTCCCTGGAGTGGTACCATCCATAGTGCTCTGGGCCCTTCCACATCAGTCATTAATTAATAAAATGCTCTACTTGCTTGACAAAGGGCCAACATGGTTGGAGGGTTTTCTCAATCGAGGTTTCCTCTTCTTAAATGACTCTAGCTTGTGTCCAATTGACACACACACACAAAAAAAAAACCTAACCAGAATGAGTCCCCCTTGACAACCTGACACACGAACACATTACTATTAAACCATAACCTGATCTTTCTTATTCATCCCCAAGATCTCATATTAATATTAATATAACAGTATAAAACATTCCAAGTTTTAAAAGTCCCACATTCTTTAAAAATTCAGCTACCTTAAAAGTTCAATTTCTTTAAATTATCCAAAGTCTCTAAACTGTGGCATCCTGTAAAATAAAACAAAGTTAAATGCTTTTCTACTCAAAGAGGAAAGAGCCAGGGCACAGTTACATTCTGAGCAAAGTAAAACCAAAATTTAACAGTATAAAAAGTTCAGTGCTTGATGTACGGGACCTACTCACGACCCTCTGAATTCCAAAGGGCCTTGGCAAAAGTACTTCTCTAGTCCTGTCATCTGCAGCACATGCACCTTGTTGAAAGTGGAAGTTTCCTTTTCCCAGTAGCCACTTCCAAATTACCACACAGAGGCTAAAATTAATTATAAGTACTCAGCCAATAGCTCAGGCTTGTTACTAACTAGCTCTTACATATTAAGTTAACCCATGTTCCTTATTTATGCTCTGCCACATGGTGGTACCTTTACTAACATGGCACATTCATCTCCTGCTTCCTATGCATTTGGCTGGTGACTCCACCCTTCTTCATCTCATCATCCTTAATTTGGTCACCCTACCTATGCTTCCTGCCTGGCTACTGGCCAATCAGTGTTTTATTAGGACCAATTTGAGTGACAAATCTTTATAGTGTACAAGAGGATTATTCCACAGCACCTTGTCTCTCGGCTGGCTCCATTCCACAGCTCCTGCTGTCCTTAGTGATTATCCCACATACTAGCATCTCTAAAATATTGGGTTCTCTAATGCAGATGGGCTATACCATCCTTAATAGCCTCTCCTGGGCTTTCTTTGGAGACTCTAGCCCTGCCACATGGTGCCAAACCTCAGCTTCTCTCCATGACATCTTCAATTCTAGGACTTCGACTTCAACTGAGTCTTCATATTCATCAATGGCCTCTACTGGCTTGTCATGGTGCCAAGCCTCAGGTTCACTCCATGACCCCTTCAGGCCTTCAAACCTAATAACACCTGAGTGGCTCCTACATAGTATCAAGTTCAGCTACCAGCACGAGATGCAGCCTCAACCCCCTCTGGACCACAGCTTCTGTGTGCTAACCCTAGGGAAATACTTTCGGAAGGTTTTATCTCAATGATGCTTGTCTCTTCCTAACCCCTGATAACTCCTCATGGCAAACGAGGCCTGTCTGTCTCCATTGACCCCCCCTCATGGCCCACCAGGCTGTGGCACGGAGCACGCGCATACCGTACAAGTCCAAGGGTGAGTGAGTGGGCATCCACACTGGCTGAGGCTCTGTTGTAGCAACCTGGTCGTATTAGTTAGCTTTTTGTTGCTATAACAAAATGCCCATCACACACAACCTAAGATTGATCTTAGCTCACCATTCCAGAGGGTTCAGTCCACAGCCATTGAGTGTGTTTATTCTGGCCCAGAACACCCAGGTACTGGAAACATGAGGAACTGAGATCAGTCCCCCAGAACTCACTTTACAAAACCAGGGGCTGTCAAGATGCTTGCTGTCAAGCCTGATAGCATGAGTTCAGTTCCCGGCTCCCACATGGTAGAAAGAAAGAACCAGCTCCTGCAAGCTGTCCTCTGACTTACACACACACACACTAAAGAAACAAATAGAAAACTGGGCTGGGCGGTGGTGGCGCACGCCTTTAATCCCAGCACTCAGGAGGCAGAGCCAGGCAGATCTCTGTGAGTTCGAGGACAGCCTGGTCTATAGAGCGAGATCCAGGTCAGGCACCAAAACTACACAGAGAAACCCTGTCTCGAGGAAAAGAAAAGAAAAAAAGGTAAAACTGGGGCTGGAGAGGTGGCTCAGCACTTAAGAGGACTGGCTCCTCTTGCAGAGAACCAGGGTTTGGTTCCCAGCACCCACCTGGTGGCTCATAACCATCTGTAACTGCACCTCCAGAGGATCCGACACCCTTGTGGCTACCAGGTGGTGTATAGACATATATGCAGGCAAAACACGCATGTGAAATCTTTACAGTTTTGTTAAATGTGACAACCAAAAAGTCAGTGTGCTGCGATTTTCACCTAAGGTGGAATCGTTTCCCTCCTCACCATGTCTGGTCATCTTGGCTTTTAGTTTTCTATTGGCACTGAAGGGCACCGGTGGGAGGGGAACCAGTCTAACCACTGGTTTATCCCCAGGGTGGACCCTGGCTGCATGAGCCCAGATGTGAAGAATTCCATCCATGTTGGAGACCGCATCTTGGGAATCAATGGCACGCCCATCCGGAATGTGCCGCTGGACGAGGTAGGACCCCAGGGATCCAAGGCCGGGGCAGATGGAGTGATGGAGGGAGAGCCTTCACACCTAAGCCCTTCCGCCCCCTCAGAAGACTCACCTGCCCACTCACCTGTCCCCAGATCGACCTGCTGATCCAGGAGACCAGCCGCCTGCTCCAGCTGACCCTCGAGCACGACCCCCATGACTTACTGGGCCACGGGCCGGGGTCGGAGCCCAGCCCCCTGCCCTCCCCAGTGCATGCTCCCGGCGGCCAGGCAGGCAGCTCTGCCCAGCAGAAACCTGTCTTGTAAGTCAACCTTTACTGCTGCAGACATTATTCTGGTGCTCTTTCATCCCTTCCGCTCCACCAGCACTGTGGTCTAGGGATTGTAAAAGATGGGAGGATAGTAGGAAAGAGGACACAGTGGACAGCGCCCCCGCTGGAAGTTAGACTCTGGCCCCGGCACACCCACATCTTCTGTTTTCCACTCTAATTTTTTTTTTTTTTGCATTGATTAATTCTTACTTTGTGGGGGAGGGGCACAGAGATGGGGAGTGAGAATGCCGCAGCGCCCGTGTGGAAGTCAGAGGACATCTTGCAGGAATCAGTCAGGGCTCCTGCCCCATGTCCAGGGGATCGAACTCAGGTTGTCAAGGTTGGTGTGGCAAGTGCCTTTACCCTCTCTCTAATTCTAAAGTGTTTAGAAGGGAAGGCGGTTTTCGGCACACTTTTCTGTAGGCACATTAACAGGGAGGGATCAGTGAGGAGCAAGGGTTGATTGCACCAGCAAAGCAAAGTTTTCCCTTTAGTCATTCTGGTCTGTTGTTAACCACAGCCAATGCTTCAGCCCTGGCTGACTGGCACCGCAGATCTGAACCCAAACCATCACATAAAAGCAAAAGTAGATCTTGGCTTCCCTCTGAATGTCACAAGCCAGGCCTTCGTCATCTGCACTGCTCTCAACATTCTTATCTTCCAAGGTCCTAGAGAACAACAGCCCACAGAGCTAACACACCCCCACCCCCACCCCCCAGAGCTCCGAGCGCTCGATGGTCTTCCAACCCAAAGTTCAAATGAGACCACAATCCTCCCTGAAACACATGGTCAGGTTTGTTACAGTACCCCGTGCCTAGCACCAGTTTCTGCCTGAGTAGGGCAGAAACCTGGAGGCAGGAAGTGAGCAGAAGCCATGGAGGAACATTGTTTACTGGCTTGCTCAGCCTGCTTTCTTATATCATCCTGTACCCCCTTCACAGGAGTGGCACTGCCCACAGTGGGCTGGACTCGTCCACATAAACCATTAGTCAAGAGAATGCCCTATAGGCTTGCCCATGGGCCAATCTGGTAAAGGCATTTTCTCAGTTAAGTTCCCTCTTTTCAAATGACTCTAGTGTGAGTCAAGTTGACAAAAACAACAACAAATTATTAATCAATTAATTAATTAAACAAAAATGAAAACACAGCCAGGACAACCTTCTTTTGAATGGCCTTACCACACAGTGCTCGTCTTTCTCTCTCTCACCCATTCTCCACTGCTGAGCACTCAACAGAAAGAGCAAGTGATGAGAAAAGCCAGGCCAACAGCCACAGCCCGGGGAAGAGCAGCCTTCCCTGCTCTTAAAACCAGTGCTTTCCTAAATGTTTCCATTGTGTTTGTGAGGTGACCCTGAGCCTTAAGTCAGAGGGCAGTAACAAGGGAGTCCTCCCTCCAGTGTCAAGGGAGTCCTCCCTCCAGTGTCAAGGGAGTCCTCCCCCCCCCAGGGTCAAGGACAAACCAAGTTTCATCCCTGGCCCTGCTTTAGAGCTACAGCAATGTGAGGCGGCAATGATTCCATATGGCCACTAGAGGGCAGGGCAGGGCAGAGCATCAGCAGAACTCGGGC